GGCTCTTTATATGCATACCCTAATTGGTGTTGATGGCAGCCAAAGAGGTACACAAGGGCAAAAGCGCGCCGCAGCCGGCCGCAGCATAGCATGATGAAAAGGGAGGGGGGACCACAAGGAACGAGGATGCGAACGCCACTGCAAACAACCCGAGGACTCGAGGACCGCGGCGCAGACGTGCGTCTTCCCTTGTAAACTCTAAAGAGAGAGAGGGGAAGGGGGCGAAGAAAGTCCGTCGGTTTTAAGAAAAGATATGAGAAATAATAGGAACAACTGTGATTACTGCCGATTGCGGCGCTTGCGGGTATTCTTAGCTAAATCAGACACAATGAAGTAAACTTCAAAAAAACAACAACACATTTTTAATCAAATGTTGAAAATTAAAAAAAGCATGTCTGGTTGGTTGTAATTAATCACTGAAATATTTCAGACCTTTGACCTTTTAGCCCCGGAAAGTTGGCTTCCACACGCAACGCTGCTGTCCACTGAACGAACAACCCCAATCGATACCAAATGATGTTCGTGCAAAGCGAACCGCGATTGCGGGCAGAATTGAAAATAAATCATTTTAGCACATAACGTCTACTTACTGCTCGCCGGAGCCGCCATCGCTGTCCCGCCTCCCGTCGCGCGAACTAAAAAACAAACAGAAAAAGAGAAAACATTAAAACTACGAAACAGTAGCAGCACACTTTACGAAACTACACCAAAAATCCAAGTGTGCAAATTCATTCGCTCACTTCAGTGTAAATCATTTTTGTTTTAAAAACAGCATCACAGGTCCATGGGCCGGTGGGAGCCAGCTGGAGCGGCAGCAGCGCGCATGCCCCTGTCTCATGCGTGTGTGGGTTTTTTTCACCAAATCGTAATATCATAAAACTTTGGGCCCCAAAAACAGCGGAACTTTCCGCGCCCTCTTGACGCCCCCTCCCCTCCCCTCCGTGCACGTGCCGGCAGTCATGCGGAGGGCAGCGACACGGGGCTGTGCCCGGGCTGTGCGTCACTGACGAGGACCGGACCGGCTCGTCCAGACGGTCGCCCCGAGTCCCGACCCGGCCGACCCGGCCCGCCAAACCAGACGTCGCTCATCGAGCAAACGCCGAGGGAGAAGGAGGAGCAGGAGTCAATACGCGACGACCCCCAGACGTGGGCATGCCTCTGCGGTGCCAAAACGCTCGGTCAAAGCAGTGGGCTATGGAGCGGCCACCACGGTGGGGCAAACTCCAGAAGGCACTGGAAAACGATGAGTGCTGAAGAAACCTCGATCCTGGGATAGCGAGATCGTGAATCAAGTTTTATCGCTTCCTGGAAGTGGAACATTGAAAAATATCGCTCCACATAAGTAAGCTAAGGACACGCGGGAAAACAAAAGTGCGATGAAGCACCTTTTAACGAAGACTAATTATTTAGTGTCTAGAAAGTCTCTAACACATCCAAAGGTGCTAAAATTAGAGTGTTTGTGGCAAGTTAGTGCCTTTGACGAGGCACAACACCATAAGCACTCTCGAAAATTCGTTATTAGCACCCGGTAAAACGTTAGAAGTAACATGTTTGTTTTTATAGTGTTAATGGTAAAAGTTTATTTTTACCGTTTTTACTACAGATTACGGGAACTTATTTTTGCTGTCCTATGTTTTGGTTGCGTGCCTACTGTTTCCCAGCTCATTCCGGAAGCTTTCGCATCGCGAATAGGTCCACCTTGCCAAGTACTCCGTAAAGGAAATCGTACTGGAAGGAGAGGGATGAAAGAGAAGGGGCAGAGGGGTGAGAGCGGGCGAGAGGAAGAGTGAGAAAATTCAGAATATGAGACAGAGAAAGAGAGAGAAGTAGCAATGGCCGAGACAGTCACGATAATTATCCTTGCCCTTGCCTTGGCCAAGGTCACACATCATGCGAACCGCGCGGGAAAGAGACGACCGTAGAGGAAAAGAGAGAAGAGAGAAAAGAAGAGAAGGGAGAGGGGGAAGGAGAGGTAGAAGCAGTTTCCCGTTGGCTCGCGGTCGGTCAGCCAAGTCAGTCAAGTTTCGCTCGGCGGCTTCTCGGTTCTTGAAAAAAAAGGAAAAAAACAAAACAAGGTGCTACCACACTACATTTTCCGAGCGGTCGCAGAACACTTGGCGACCTACGGCCCCCGGAGCGGCGATCAACGCAACCA